GAAGAAGAAGAAGAAGAAGAAGAAGAAGAAGAAGAAGAAGAAGAAGAAGAAGAAGAAGAAGAAGAAGAAGAAGAAGAAGAAGAAGAAGAAGAAGAAGAAGAAGAAGAAGAAGAAGAAGAAGAAGAAGAAGAAGAAGAAGAAGAAGAAGAAGAAGAAGAAGAAGAAGAAGAAGAAGAAGAAGAAGAAGAAGAAGATTCTCATCCAAGAAGCTTGGATGGTGAGAGGATGTATCTATTCTTTCATCCCCCTCACCATCACAAGTGATGAAGCTTCTTGGGTGAGAAGCAAAATGTTTATTCTTCTTCCTCAAGGAAAAACAGTCTAGTTGCCTTTTACAAAAGCACCTTTGAGACAGGAGAAATAAAAATTCAACAACTAAGGTGTTATGTCATACATTTTAAGCAGATTCATATTTTCCCTGTTAAAGAAAAGGGAAGATTCATACCCTAGCCATCGGAATATTCTGCCCAAATCCTTGGTGAAGATGCTGCTGGACAAGCCTTGTTTCACACTATTGTTCCAACCAAAAGCTTCTTCCTCTGTCTGGAAAGCAAAATAAATTTAAAAAAAAAAACTACATGAACTTAGCGCTAACTATAACCACAAAAATAGAATGATAAACCAGAACTTCTAAAATGTTTAACTATGCGCAAGGCCTAGTAAAGTCACAAAAAGACTGAAGCATGCCTCAAACTATAAGGCAAGCAGAGTGTTATTATCAAATACTCACTTTTCCAGTATTCATTACACTCATCATACTGGTCCCAGAACAGGGAGGCCTTATCATAGTACTGATCTCTCAATGTACCTTGTATAAAGTCCTTGGATAATCCCAGAGAGCTGCTACCAACAATTCCTAAGCACTTGAGATATTTACTGTATTTCCAAAGCAGGAAAAAACCTCATGTAGCTGCATTAACTGCTAACACTACTATTGTAGTCTTTTGGATTTCAAGTTGATATAACCTTGCTAGCATCTAACTAAAAAGCTGTTTTACTTACCTTAAATTTGAGCACATAGAGAATAGGAGCAAATGTCTCTGTGTGCACAATTGGAGAATTATGAGGGAGGCCAATCACAATGGTTGGTTCAACATAGTTTCCAGGACGTTCTATAACCTTGAATTTAAAAGAGAAGGGAAAAAACCACTAGTTTCAGCCAAATCAATCTCTACACATGAAAATATCTACTGCATAAACTTCCTTCAACAGCTGTGTTCACAACATACAAACCATGCCTAAAAGCAACAATACAACTGCAATTCTGAATATTAGCTTGTCAGAAGTGTGAGTTGCCAGGAGAATCATCTTCATTTAACTGCTCATATCAAGAGAGCTGATTTGCCTTTCTTTGTAAGTTGCTTCTTAAAGAGACAACTAGTAATAACCCTAATCATGCTAGATAAGGACAATATAAGATAGATTACTAGTTGTTAATAGGAAACCCTGTGAAAGTTACCCAAGAAAGGTCTATCTTTTGGCCCTTCTCAACCTTCCATAATTGGGCTTCATACTGTTATAGGAAGTAACTGCTCTACTTCTAGTTTGTAGAATTCTGTATCTACAAACATAAAGTCTCCTTCAAGTCAAGTTCAACTGAAAACTTCATGGACACATCTGTTACTTTGTCTTCATTTTGTAGTGGCAAAAGGCACCCCTCCACACCATTTTAATTTGCTAATCTACCTCTAGAATTGCCAGGTGTTCACCTATTCAAGTACTAAAGAGGATGACTGTGCTCAAATTGGATAAATTCAACTAAGTGCCACCTCTTGGATGGGTAGTTTTCAAACATGATAAAGTGTACATTATTACAGGTTATGTAAACATTATACAACCAGGAAATATATTTGGTTAAACTTGTTGAAACAAAATTTGAAGGTGAAGATTATTTATCAGGTGAAGGATAAAAGCAACAAGAGTTTGATGGAGGTATTGGTCAAAACAACACATTCTTCGACACCACTGCTTTTAAGTTTTATATTATAGATGTAAATGAGAATAATCACCTTCCCACCATAGACAACAGAGCCACCTTGTTGTTTGGCCACTTCCACTGCATCAAGGAACATCTTAACTGCTTGCTTTGTATGAAGAGGACCGTACAGGGTGTTTGCTGCAATTAAAAAAAAAAGGTCTAAGTGAAAGCCAAATAAAATGTATAAGAATATATTGAGAAATCCATTAGATTTATTTTAAAAGCTCATGGCTACAACTGGAACTGCTTGGAGCAACTTTGTTATATCAGTACGTGGTTATTCATGTATATCATCCATTAGTACATGGTACATCAGAGCATGGTTATAAAGAAAGGAAAAAGTTCTCTGAGGTAGCCTGAACACAAGACTAAAAGCTACTGTAAAAGTAATTAGATTTTAGCCAAGTACCATCACAGTCTATTTTCAGGAATAAAACAAAGCTCTTACCATCCCATGGATCTCCAATACGGACTTGAGCATATGCCTTCATGAGTTTTTCTACTACTTGATCATGGATGCTTTCATGCAAAAACTAAGCAGAAATTCATGAATATTATTGGCAGTAACAGCACAACTTCAGCATCCTGCAGAAAACTATAGTATCTTCTGAAGATCTTTCAGAGTTTTCTAGAAACTTAACTTTTGTAAAGTTATGACAAGTAGCCTTTCTCCACTTTTATGCACTTAAGTGTACGTAAGCATTTTATTTCTAATTTAATATTTGGCAACTCAGGATAGAATTGGAAGGACGTTTGAGAATAAGCAGTAAAAGATACATTACTCCATATACCTTTTCAAATTGGGGGTTAGATTTACGCAAACTCTGTCTTATTTTGTTCTAAACTGCACAGAAAATAGGACAGGCAGTAAAGAACAAATAGAACACAATAGCTCCATGGGAAAATATTACAGTATATTTGCCGGGGCCAGAAGCAGTTGTATGCACAAATTTCTATCAAGATTATGCAGAAGATATGAAGAGAATGACTAAGAAATCTGTCTATATATCTATTGTCTGTCTTTCTCTACATGTATTAACTATCTGTCTGCCTATCTATCTATCAGTCCACCCATCCAGATAGTAAAATATACAGAGATATTAAGAATTATTTACCAGCCTCCTAGCAGTTGTGCATCTCTGGCCTGCTGTACCCACAGCTGCAAAGAGGGCAGATGGGATGACTAGGTTGAGATCTGCATCTTCAAATACTGCAAGGAACAGAAGCAGATCATGATGGACCAATGCAAAATATAAGCAAAATAAATATCAACTATAAGGAATTAGGCAACAACTACTGGTGAAAGACTGTCAACAATTTTTATTCTAAATATATCAGAGACATTTATAGCCAAAAACAAAACATCTGCAAAGGTCAGTGATATAGACTTTATCAAACAAACTTTGCTTTGATTCAAGGAAGTCTTCTAGATTCATACAGAGTTGGAAAGAACAACTCTTTTCCCTT